GGCAAGCGAAGATGGCCATCTGGTACCACGAAGATCCATGAATCGATGCCCTGAGGGAGTGTTTTTGTGAAATTTTCTGAATAAAAAACTACCCCGAGCATATATTTTCTCTATTTTCTTCGAAAGTCGGAAAAAAACCGTTGTTCGTATCAATGCACTAATTAAAGATCATTTTCGTTTGATGAATCATCCATTTTTTGATATGCATATACAGCAGGAACTAACTACCTTTTTTGACTTTCTCAAACCTCAATGAAATGTTAAAAATTTGTTAAAAAGTCAACAAGTGTGGCCTAAAGTCCATGAAATGGAAAACTCATCAAATAAAATTCAATTTTTTGGTTTTGTATTTTTTAAAACATTGTTTGATTTGAAGTCCCTATTATTTTTGATTGTTATGATGTACGCCACCCCGCTGAAGGCACATTTGTAAAGCTTATTATAGACATTAAAGAAATAGCAGCTAAATTAAGAGTTTTGCTTGAAAATCAGTGTCCTAAACCGAATCGTTTACTTGTCATAACTGGTAAATTGGGCTGAAAAATATTTCACTAGAATACGAGATCTGCCTCAAAAATGATCTAAGCTAGCTTCTAACCTAAGTTTTTTCCTGACCAAGATCAATCACTTAATTATAATTAGGCTGACCGACAAACCACATATTGTTATCCATGATGTATTTATGTTCTATCCGTATTAGTTACGGTCAACCATCGGTTTTTGTTTTATTTTAAATTCAGATCAAAAACGCCGAATTAGATCGTTTATGAGAACTTTTCAACCCATCCCATTGATAATAATTTGAGGCTCCAACCAAAGGTAAGAAAGAGATGGTTTGAATTTCAAAAATGGTTTTCTAAAACATTTCTGCGTTTTGAAATGACTACAGAAATGTTGAGATCTGATTTGGTCAAAAGAAATATTGAATAGTCGTCAAAGCTGAGGCAAAATTTGGACAGTTTTCACCAAAAAATAGGATTCTTTTGGCGCGCGCTCCCCCTTCAAAATTAATTGGCACCAAAGAGTCTTTTAGGAAGATATTAAAGTCGGTCAGCTGAAACTATATATCTCGAATTAGTTCCAAAGGGGGAACCCTTTGGGTGGCCAGGGGGTCGAACCTCTAAGCGAGGGGGATTCCGCCCCAACCCTTCACCTTAAATCTGCTACTGGAGAACCCAAGAACAACTATAGTAGTATTCAATAACTGTTAGGCTAAGTAATTTTGGTTACAAAAAAACAATGGTTTTTTTAATGAACGATTGCCCGAATACAAATCCCTACAACTTTCAGTGGTTGTAGGAATGATAACGAAATCATTGCGCATCGGAAAACTGAGCGCACCTGAAAATTTTTTCTATCTGTCTCCGCTGGATGAATCGCAAATTGTTTCGATTGTCTCTGCTACTAAGGTATGGCGTGGTGTCGATTCATTTTAATGGCACGTCTCAGGCTCGCTGGATTCGAGTAAGACTGGGTTTAAGTAGGATCCCTGCAGCATAGCTGAACCTATAAAATCTCTCTCTATATATATATATATATATATATATATATATATATATATATATATATATATATATATATATATACATCAGGTTACCATAAAACCTTGGGGGACCGACATTCCTACGTGGACGTAAACTATAAGAGTGGGCACCTAGGCTGTCACTTTCGATTTCGTACACAGGGAAATCTGAATCGCTATACCTTGGCAATTCCACTATAGTAGTCAACGCCTGTGTCTGTGTTCTCTCCGGTGGAGACATCTCTGGTTTCGGATTTGGTCTTTCATCGAGGGCTGTCCCTGACGTGCTGTGAATGGTTGCTGGAGTCGATGGGGCCGGTGTTACTGAGATGGGGCAATGGGGAATTGTGTCGTGCTTTGTTACTCTTTCTTCTTCACCCACGTCTAATAATTCAACTTAAAATTTAGGGTTTGAGTTTTTATTCCTTAGGTTGTTTCCCTCTCCTTGCTGTCTAGTATGTTCCATGTTTTTAGCGAAACGTTCTCTACCAACATTTTTACAAGGAAATTCTCCAATTGTCCACTCCGACTCGCTCGAATCCGAAGGATGAAAAGGTAAAAAAAAAGGATTTATCTTCACCTAAATAACCTGTAGGTGAGGTCTTGGTCTTCTGTTTTGGTTGTATTTTAGTTTTGTGCTTCGGGCGTTCTTTCTTCTTTGTCTGGGTTGATCTTTCGGTTTTTCTCGTGTAGAGTGATGTGTTTGGTGAAGAAGAAGAGGGTACCATTGCTACTTCTGTCTGAGTTTTTGTCCAGGTTTCCTCCTTTGGAAAGAGTGAGCGCATGCTGGGAATTTATTGTTAAAACAAGTTGAAGTAATGTTTCCCTTTAAATTCCGGACCTTCTGTCCGTCGGATTTTAGCCAGGCAATGTCGGATTATCTCAAGATTTTACCATTTGACAGTTTGACTGTAGATTCAGGTGCACTTATAATTTTGTCCTCAGTTTTGCGGTAGTATGGTTCAGCGTTTTTTCGGTCAAAGACTTCGAAAATTTTTTTTTCTATGCGGTGTCTGTCAAAGCATGACTCTGAGTTTGGATAGTGCTTCTTTGTTGGTCAGGAAATGTGTAGCCTTTTTGTAGCCATTTTCCGACGGATCTTTGTTCTTTTTGTCTATCAGTGAATTCAGATATTCTTCTTCGATTCTGTCGACCGCCCCCCCCCCCCACCAATCCTTTATTCAAGCATCTGATAGGATCAATTTTTCTCTTTCAAACCAATGTTTTGGAACTTTATCAACTAATGTTTTCCACAAAGTATCCGGTTTTCTGCTGTAGTGTTCCTCGAAAGGGGTGCAGTTGATTGTTGATTGAATTGTGCTTTATAGGTTCCAAATAAAATTAGACAAGGCTTCATTTAGAGATGGTTTTGGAATTTTTGTTGACATTGTTAGTATTTTTGTTTTGTTAAGTGGACGAATATTTCGACTAAAAGACTGGATCTATGATCGTCAATTGTGCAAACTTTTATGTTGATATTTAAATTGCAAAATATTTTGAATTCTTGACTAGTAAAGCATGTGGCGTGCTCAACTCTGATGTTTTTCGGAATGCCATGTAAATGAATGTAATCTTGGAGAAATTGTTCTATGGGTTTAGCTGAGGAGAACGATCTAATTCTAGCTCAGGGGAATTTAGAAAATTTGTCTATAAAAAGTAAAATGTATTTGTGGGAGCCCCAGTTAATATCCAGCGGACCGGCAAAGTATAGGACAATTTCTTCATTCACTTCTGATAAAACAGGCAAGGTTTTCACTTTCGAGCACGGTATTAAAGTTTTGGAATTTTTAACGGCTTTTATGCAGTTCGAACAGTTTTTCCATGGTACCAGATAAATCTATTAACGTGAGGCCACCAAACGTATTCGGCCAATTACTTCATCCCAAATTGTCCAGGATGTGTCTCGTGGAGTAATTTCATAACCTCGCCTCTAGCACTGCATGGTTCTACCAAAATATTCTCCTTGTAAAGCAATCCGTTGGAAGTATGGAAATCTTTGTAGTATTGATGAAAAAAGGTTTCAAAATTAGTCGAGTGTGGATCCTTTTTCTCCTCCAAGGCTCTAACCAAAGGCTTCAGTAAGATGTCTTCTTCTGTAGGAAGGGCAAAAACTTTAGTGTTGAATGAGAAATTATTGTCCACAAGTTTTCAGTAAATTTCTGAGATTTTCTATATTTACGAGCCAAGGTTATGTGTTTTGATTCGAGTTTTTCTACGCTGAAAGAAATATGTATGCCTGCGGGATTAAAATTAACTACAGTTTGGCTATCTACTTTTGTATTTTTTAATATGTTACTGTCCATTGGAGTTCTTATAATTTTAGTATTAACTGATGAAAGAAATAAAAAGAAATAATCTGAAATTGTATTTTTTGATAAATACGTGATTGAAAAATCCAAGTGAATATAGTTTGAACAGCAAAATTCTGATCTGGTATGTTTCAAGTCACAAAATTTCATGGCGCAACTAGTAGTTTGTAATATTGAGCTAATAAGTTTATGGCGTAATAATACATCATTGGAAAGTTCCGAATTGTGGCTAATCAGGTTGTTACTATTTACTGGATGAGTAGTTATATCCGACTGATTTGAAATTATAATTATTATCTTCCGTACAGATGCTACTACAAATTCATTGTCGAAATGAGAGTTTGGGGTCGGTTTTCTGATTGGTTTTCCGATACAACTCTTGAGATAAGATTAGTAAACGCCATGTCCTTTCTCACCAGATGTTTCACCGTTAAGTTAAAAGGAAGTAGTCTATCCACGCAAAGTGTTAGTCTGCTATCGTAAACTTGTTTCCCTTGATTACTTGATAATGCTAATAACAGAGCTTTATGATCGGAATAACTTGGAAGTCCGATCCGTATAATTATTTTTTATAAAGCTCCTCTGCCCATACATTTCCTAAGAGCTCTAATTCATTTGTTGAGTGTTTTGCTTCATGAGTATTTGAAAATCTAATTGCGAATGCGACTGTTTTTCAATCACTACCATGGAGTTGTTCTAAGGAGGCACCTAGCTCACAGTGTGAGGCATCTGTTTTCACTCTTGATTTACACCCTAATTCAAAATGTGTGTTTCACAACCTCACTTTTGATACTTTCAAAAGCTATCGAATGTAAAAGGTCCCAACTGAAGATTGAATTTTTGTTCAAGAGAGGGCGTAGAGGATTTCCAAGGGTGGCTAGATTTGGTACAAAGTTGATAAATTGATTTATAGAGCCAAAAAACGACCTCAACTCTCTAATGTTTCTGGGAGTTGGTAAGCTTTTGATAGCTAAGGTGTTTTATCTTCCAATGGAAATATTCGCAAGTTAAAAATTTCAAAATCTATCCATTTGATTTCTTTCTTAAAGAGATGACATTTGGATTATAATAGCCCTTACATGCTAAATCTATCCCTGCATTAGACTCAGATTATATCCCCTAAGAAAAACACCAACATTTTTCAGGATTTAGTATTTACATATTTCACGATGGGATTGATGGGTCAAGTGATCATTGCAGTTGCATTGTGTGCAGCATTTTGCGAGTCAGTTCGAAAACGAGGAGCAACCAACAATCAAATTTCGTCAACAAGTGTCGCCATTGTCCGATTCGGAGGTGGAAAACTGACCGTGTTTGAAGACAGTGTTAAAAAAGGGAAGTACTACGTCCATCCTTTGTGTCGGCTCATTCACACATCTGCTCAATCTATGTACGATATCTTCGCTAAGAGTTACATTCTCACATTCACCGTGCAAATTTGGTCGACTGCTGCTCAAAAAGCTGTTTACGAACAGCTTATAAAAGACGGAATAGATGTGAAATTACACAATGTGCAGATGTTTCCGATTGAGGAAATGAGACTGGTCGACAAGGACAGAGTCATGAAGGATTACACTCTGCCGGAAAACTGGCTGTCGGCTAGTGATCGCCCGGACGAAGTGCACTTCCAGATCAGGTGTGCCGACAAATTTTCGTGCTCACAGTTGGAAAAGGGGATGAAGGAGAACCCGAAGGACTTCAAAGTGTTGCAAGTGCAGTTCCGAATGCTCTCCGAGAAGACTGCCTCTCGTATCCTCACTGTCACAGGTAGCGACCTCTCCAAAGGCAAAATGTGGACTGAGCTGGAAAACATGGAGGGTGCCAATGGCGACGACAGGTATGATAAATGGATGATTTTAGAGTTAATGCAAAATTGTTGGCATCATCGGTGACCTTGACCTTGAGCAATTTAATCGGTCAAAAACGATAGCATTTAAGGCTAATTAGTTTTTTTGAACACGGTTTATAGGCGTTGAAATCCATGAAAAACAGAAATAAGACGTCGAAATGAGTCTTTTAGGTTAATTAACTTCGTTCAGATTCTTTGACCGAAAAGGATATTGCCAACAATTTAGCATTAACTATAAAACTCATTTAACCATGATTGCTGACAACTTGAGTGACAAGGTCAAAAAAGTTATACATTTTTTTGAATGAAATTGACCACTTGAATAAATTTTTTAGCATGTTAAAAAATGCGTTTTTTAATTTGGCCACAATGTCCCTCAACTCCGCGCCAGAAAATGCCATAACTCGCCGCTCGGAGAGAATATGAAAAAAAAACTATATAGTCTCAAATATGGAAGCTTTAAAGCATATGCAACTTACATATCGAATGAAGGTTAAACTTTTTGCTAAATTTTTGGCATTGTTGGCAAGCTTGAGCAATTTAATTCGTCGAAAAACAGAGCTTTTAAGGTTAATTAGATATTATGACATGATTTTACGCGATTAAATAACTCAAAAACTTATTTTCACCGTCCAAATGAGGGGTTATAGATTAGTGTACTTCGTTCGGTTTATTTTGCCGAGAACGATATATTCAACATATTGGCATAAATTATAACTGTTCCGAAAGCGAGTCAGGTTGTATCTGCAGGTACCTGACATCGAATGACATGCAGCAGATGTCAGCCGAGTCTGTGAGTGTTGCGACTGCATCTGTGCGCACTGATTCGGATTACGCCTGCAACGAGCAGGACTCGATAGGGTTGAGTGTGGCACTTCAAAATATCCTGCAACAGAACTCGGAAAACACCGCCAAATTCGACGCCACAAAGTGGGACTCCGTCTACTGGAAAGACGACTGGTCGAGACCGGACAAAATAACCGATGAGTTAAACAACATCTACTCTTTGGATAGTGAGCACAAGGATACTCTTAAGGTACGTCTTTTTTTTAATTCTGCAATTTCTATTATTCTTATCGTTTTTTTTCTATGATATCATATTTAAAACCAAACGCATGAAGAAAGGCTAAAGACTAAAGAGACTTCACACGACAGAAATGCTCTTTTGATGCTCTCTCTGTTGGAGTTAAAAAAATTGAATAATCCAACTGATTACATTTTTAAATGGATTAATCGTAAACGAATTTCACGAAGGTAAGCAGAGTTCACGACGGTACATTGGAGTCGTTTAACCTAAAATAATCGGCGAAGTTTTCAATTTTTTCTTAATTTAAAAACTTTTTGAGATTTTTGTTTTGAAACTTTAAAACCCACACATGATATAAAGTTCAAAATGATATATTTAGCAAATAGCAAAATATAAAACAGATCGAAAAACATGCCTCAACCCAATTTAGAGCGGTTTCTCTAAGAGTGATTAAATAGTCGCATGTGCGATAATAGTACGAAATATATTGCGCGTTGATTGTCCCAAATTGACCCAATTGTCCCAAATATTTAAACCCTCATAACCTTTTTAAAAATGATCATTGCTTTTTTATTTGAACTCAGGGCATCAATATTTTTTGAATGATACAAAAAAATCTTGACAAAATTGCTAGTTAAAAACTCTTAACTTGTTTGGAGAGAAAATCCACTCAATGCTTAAACTTTTCGATAATTACTTCAATATTTTTTAATTCGAGGCCAGGACAACAATACTTTTTGTATGATTTAATATATCTCGTCAAAAAAGGCTAGATCAATAGTCTTTATTAGTTTAGTACTTCGATCTAACTTTATTAATTCTTAGTTGTGGTCTAAATTAAATTAATCTTTTAACAAGCAGTACAAAATAACATTCAAGCAATTTTATTCAATGAAGCCATAAATTCACTGCTTGTTGGGACAACCCAGGAGTAGTTCCGCTCATGGAGGGTGCCCCAGATAAGACAATATTTGAGGAGCATCAAATACATAATTATACGAGGTGACATTTTAGAAGAGAATTTCAAAAACCAGATAATTTGGTCATTTTTTCTATATCGGGAGGCAACAATACAGTGGGTAAAAGTTTTGCCGCTGTTCTTCTGGTTGTTCTTAAGTGTGAAGTTTCATTAATGTTTAGAAATTTTACAGGTGAAAATTTTCTCAGGAGACCGAAAGCTTCCTTGAGAATATGAGCCGCATACAATTCATAAACTGTGTATATTTTGTGCCTAATCGCTAGGTCTTGAACTGAATCACTGTATTTTATGCGAAATACAGTTCTGATTATTCGTTTCTGTAAAAGAATAATTGATTGTAGGTCAGTTTTTGATGCACTCCCGTATGGTAAAATACCGTACTCAATTATTGATTTAGTATAGGCATTATAAAACATCAATAGCTGTTTTGTGCTGAAAAAACTTCTAGTTTTGAGTAATAGGCCATTGAACTGACCAAAATTTTTGTTCACTTCATCTATATGATCCTTAAAACTGAGCTTATTGTCGATTATTAGACCTAAATATTTTGTTTTGAAGGAATTTTCAATTTTGTGAGATGCAAAGGTAATTTCCGTCAGATGATTGTTACCAAAAGAGACTAGATTGCATTTTGCTGGGTTAACAGTAAGCCCATTATCAACAAACCACTCCTGATTGAGGTATAAGGCACTTAAAAAATCTTTTTTGTTGTTGCAAAAAATCGTTGTATCATCAGCGTATAGAACGGAGTTGGCTTTACCAAGTTGTGTCGGCAAATCATTTATGTACAGTAAAAACAATAGAGGCCCCAGAACTGACCCCTGGGGAACGCCATATTTTATCAAATATTTTATCAAACGTTTTTCTGACCAACATTTATTATAATCAACGAACTGAAATCTTTATAATAGCTGCAAAAATTTTCCTCGAAACCCGTTTTTTTCAAGCTTGGACAGCAATCTTTCATGATTTATTGTATCAAATGCTTTGGTCAGGTCTACGAAGCAGGATTGACAGGTGCACTTTTTGTCAATACTTTTACGTAAAGTTTCTGTAAACTCTAAAAGTGCATAAGTACATGAATGTTTTGGTGGAAAACCAAATTGGCTATCACTTGAAACCTTGTTCTTATTTATAAAGCTCATCATTCTGTAGAAAATGATCTTTTCAAAAACTTTATCAATTGATGTAAATAGACTGATTGGTTTGTAATTGCCCGCGTCATGGACTGATCCATCTTTGTATATTGGAATAACTCGAGCAACTTTTAAGTCGGAAGGATAATATCCTTCATCAAAACATTGGTTAAATAGCTCAGTTAATGGTTGATTGATAACTGGAAGTGTTTGTTTAACTGTTTTATTGCTTATACCATCAAGACAAGTACTGTTACCGTTTTTCAATTCCTTAATCGCATTAGATGTTTCTTTTATTGTTATTGGAGCAAAAACAAAAGTGTTACTAATAAAATTCGACTTAACATTTTTGTTATCTGTAAATTTTGCTGCAAATTTTTCACCAATACTAGTAAAATATTCATTAAATGTTGTCGCATTTATTAAATTTCCTGAAAAATTTTTTGTTTTACCCCAAAGCGATCGTATTGTAGAGAAAAGCTCTTTAGAGTTGCTGAAATTAGCTGTACTTTTGTCGTAAAAAGCAATCTTGGCATTACGAATTGTTTTATTGCAGATATTCTGTTCCTTTTTTTATAATTTTTGTGGTTTTCAGGGGTGGGATTTTTGATCAATTTTTTGTAACATTTGTTCTTTTGCTGGCGTTGTTTTTGGCATTCATTTGTTATCCAAGATTTTTTTGAATTTTCGAAAGATTGATAGGGTGCAAATCTATCCAAATCTTGATTTATACTTCTAGTTATATGGGCTAACTTTTTATCAACAGACCAGTTTGCCTCAGTTTTAGATAGAAATTGGTGTAGTAAAAACAAATATTTTAATATGCTAACATAGTTTCTTGAAAATTTAAAATTTCTTTTCCAATTACGGGGGAAATTTTTTTTGTTTTGTGGTCGATCGCTGGCATTTAAAAAATTAACAAGAGCATAATGATCGCTTATATTACAACGCAATCTCGTAGAAAGTGTTACTTATTGAATGGTCAATGCAATTCATTGTGCTCGGGGTAATTCTAGTTGCTTCGCAATTGTTTATCTGTAAACCATACATGTTGATCCGGTCTTGGTACTTTTTAGTATGAGAACTCTCTTTTGAGATATCAATATTAAAATCGCCACAAATAATTATGTCTTTATTTTGTTCGCTGATTTTGTCTATCAGTTCCTCAAATATTTCCCAAAATCCTGAAATTTTAGCCCCAGGTGGTCTGTACATTAAGTGAAATGTTAAAACACCCTTGTTTTCAATATTTTTAAGTTCAATTGAAAAATTTTCCAATCTGTCATCTTTTTCAAGTATATATTCAATGGCTGAGAAATCTTCGCGGACATAAAATGCTAAGCCACCGCCATTTTTTGTTTCTCTTGGTTTTGAAAAAATTGGTTTATAGCCATCAATATTATAGCAACCTTGAGGATCGTTGCTTGTTAACCAAGTTTCACATAAACCTATTGCAATAGGTTTAGATTTAAAGTTTTCTAGAAGACAAAATAACTGGTCGTGATGGTAACGTAAAGATCTTATGTTTAACAATAGTTTTGATTGTTGTTCAATGTCACCTAATTGATGCTCGTCAATCATTCTTATCAATATCAAAACTAAAAACTTGCAAAGTAGAACTAAGAGTTTATATGAAATTACAGAGTTGGTTTGCTAGCTACCACTTGTTGTGACATCTCTCGTTGACATTGCTTCGTTTGCGTCTTCGTAGATGTGCTGTTTGCACGTATTGCCATCCACCATTGGTCTAGTAGGGGTAATTTCTTGATGCGATCTTTTATTTTGACCCGGCGTTGGGGAAGGCTGCCTGCTCGATGCGTTGTCTGTATTAAATCTTGGCATCTGGTTGCGTTTCCAGAAGTGTTTAGAATTGCTCTCATTTCTACGTGGATTTGGATAGTTGTAGACGTTATCTCTGTGGTCACTTTTTATGGCTGAATTTGCAGCTTTTTCGATTTCACTGACACTGTCAACATGTTTCGAGTAGAAGGACCCGTTGTTAGCTTTGTAGTAAAGCTTCACTTGGCAGTTCATGGTAGTCGTTATTAATCCCAGTGACTCACACTTTTGCTTTAGCGTGACGTCATGTTGGGGTGGACGCTCAGTAATATACATTTTCTCTCCGTGTGAATTAAAGCATGCGGCAAGTCTTGATTTGAGTTGGTAAATATTGTCTTTGTCTGCGAAGTACACGAACTTTACTATAATGGGCGCTGATTTCGTTCCTCTATTATTCTCGTTCTTTACAGGAAGCGGGTGTATTGCTTCGATTGAGCATGGTTCGATATAGTATGAAAATATGTTTTCAACAAGTTGGCAGAAGTCCTCATCAATGAATTTGATCGGTGATCCAAATCGAAATTGCAAAAGAGAAGGGTATTCTTACTTGTGTACCTTTATTGGGCATTTACTCTTTTTTTCAGTTCTGCGACTTCTTTTTTCAAATCAGAAATATCGATGGTCTTTTTAAAATCCTTTAATTCCAAGTTATAAACTGTTTTTTGTAGAGTTTCCACGGTTTTCAATAGGTTGTTGAGTATTTCAGGTGATAAAGATGCGGCTGCATTAGTGCATTCTTCGGTATATTCCATCGTTTTGGTGGTTAGTTAATTGAGTATCCGATAAGATTTTTATTCAGAACGTGCTTGGAATTAATATTTGCGTGTTTGAATAGCAATATAAATTGTCAAACGAACTGTGAACACAATGACGTAATAGCATGCGACTGTTTGTTAGCTTAGCATTTGTTCCGGAGAAAAAAAGCCTTTGAAGCGCCAAATGTTCCGTCATTTTCGTCAAAATGATAAAAAAATTTAATCATCCAACTTTTGACGAAAAGTTAGAGAAAAATTTCGAAATTCTGGAGAAAAAAACCACCAAAGTACAATTATTTCATCAGTTTCTTAGAAAATAGTGGAAAATTTTTTTCTCAAGACCGTGTCCAGAAATTTTTTTCAATTCTGTTGTCATTTAAATCATGTTTCTTATAATGAATTCTGCTACTTTATTTTAGAGTTCGGATGTATTGAACTATCCATACAAAATGGACAATATCAGGAAACTTAAATAAGTTGTTCTCAAACAGGTGCTTTTTGATCAGAAAAAAAAGATTGCTGATGAATTAACTTCAAATTATTATGATGCAATTTGTTTTGCGAATTTTGAATCTAAATTTTTTTTCCAAAAATGGGTCATGATTTCAGCTCCTTTTTCTGTCACGAAGTACGCGTCAAAAATTTTGCTGATAAAAAATGTTGACGAAAAGTAAGCCTCTTATGTAGCCCAACAAAGTTTCGAAAGTTTTATCTTCCAAATAGCATAAATTATTGACTGACAGCCTATAAATGACGTTCTTACCAAATAAAATATCAATTTAACAATTTAATCGTTCAATAAAAAAAATTTCAATCGTTTTGTGCAATTTTTTGGAGAGTATACTGTTTTTGTGCACTACATAGATACTCATTTTGATAGAGAGGTTGTAGTTTTGGCTCAGTTTTGGATTGACTAAAAAAGTACTTCGCAATCTTAACAGCACTTCGCATTCTTATGCGTCAGATCACATCTCATATGATATCTATCCGATAATTTTAATTTCACAATAAAAATTTTTTCGGAGACGACGATAGCTTTAAGCTTATCAATTTTTTTTATTTTTTCCATAATTGCACTTGCAACTCAAGTTAGGAAATTGGATTGGTTTTGATCTCATGACAGTCTTGATCGTAAGTGCAGGTAAGACACGCAGAAGTCCAGTTTCCTCCAGTATAGATGAGTTCAAATAACATTCAATTGCTCAAAGCCTGTTACAAACTCACGTTCAATGTTTTCTGTCAAAAAAGTATCATCATTTTTCTACAAATTTTCAGTACAGACTAAGTAGAATATGTATAATATCTACAAAAAAATTTGTTCTGCAAATATTTTGGGAGCCAAGTTATACTAAATTTAAGAAAGAGAGAGCGCGCGCAATAAAAACGACTATTGCTCGTCTTGCAAAAGTTATCTCTGCGGCCCAAAAAATTTGCACAAGTAGAATTCCTACTGGAAAACTCAAAAACGTAATTCACGGTTTATTAAAAATGGGCATATTTTGGTTTAGAATAGAAAAGACACCAACTTTTTTTTATCATTTTTAATCTAGTGTTCAACTACGAAGTGATGAAGAAATTTGTTTTAGGGCTCGTGTCTTGCTTCATAAATCTTTGCAAGTTTTGTGCCTTTTTTAAACATGATTGGGAGAGCAAATCAGATATAATTAGTCCATATGTGATTATAATTATTCTATAATGTGCTTAGTTCATATTTTAGATAAACGGAACTTGACGTGATTGATCTACTGGGATAGTTTTCCAATCCCAGCTAAAAAAAAACGAAAAAAAAGGAAAATTTCTTGACACAAAGATAATTTTTGCATTCAAATCATGGCCGTCACTCGACTCCATTTGAGGTATTGCTCAATGCCCTCTGCAGATTTTTGGTTCCTGGTTTGCGTGAAATTTTTGCACCTCGGCTAAAACTCCCTCCGAGCTTTTGTAAATACATAAAAGGCAGCAACAACATCCTGAAACTTGAATTGTGCCACCACAAGTTTGCGTTTTTAATGCAATCAAAAGGTTGAACGGATGTTATTTGCCTTTTTGACATTTTTTGCAACATTTTGCAAGCAAATGATGAAATTTTGATAAACCACAGTTTGAAATTTTAATTTTTTTAATGTACTTGAGCATTGAAGCGGACAAATTGAATCTATCGAACTATTCAGCCTTGTCATTTCCAAATAAAAGACAGTAGTAATGAAAATCAGAAATGAAAAGATGGACTATTTGTGATTGGTCGGTTTTTTTTTTTCTGAGTTTATTCTACTTTTTAACGCGCCATTTCAAGTAGTATGGCTTGTTAAATCTAAAAAGTTTGGCTTCTTGAGCTCAAAACAAAAAGTATCTTTTTTTGCAAAGTTGAGGGAGTTTTAAAAACGCAATATCAACCTAATTGGGACAATTAATGCGCAATTGGTTCACGCTATTAACTGGAAATTGGTTATTTATGCCGGTTCCAAAATCAATCGAGGCATGCTACTGAGTCTTATCACTTTCTAAACTTTAAAGCGTTCGATGAATGCATAAGAAAAATGAAAAAAATATATACTTTGTTCCGAAAGTTGTATCATTTCAAAGTCAAAAATATTTTCATAGACGCTCGCTTGATAAAAAACTCTTTTTGTTTTCATTTTCATTTGCAGTCGTTTTTTATGCAAAATTTATGGGGAATGCGTGCCAAAAAAACGGCTAATTCTTTGTTTCAAAAAACAATCCAATAAATGAATAACAAATAACAGTTTTGAACACCTTTTTGAAAAATTAGCGGTGTAGGTTTTTTTGACAAAATGTGTACATTTATTATTTGAATGTGTTTGTCATACCTCTAAGTGGGAATATCTAATTCTCGACTCCGAATGGATCGATAAACAAAGAGTCTCAATCGAAGCGGTGTAAAACAACTAGTTGATAGACAACATTTATTTACGACTGAACAATAGTTCACACACAGTTCATGTTTTATGCCTATCAAGGTCAACCGACCGACCAACTGAGTGACTTTAACATAAAATAAGAATAATATAAATAACATGTCTTTATACTGAGTTTATCGATCCAGGCCGGATGACATTCCCCCCTCAGCAAATAAATTTAAACAACTGTTTTGAACTTTGAGTTCTCTAGTCCCCGGTGGACTTTTTGAATTTTGAGTTTTATAGTCCCCTTGGTTTTATAGACCTCTGTTTGTTTTCCAAGAATACGCACCCATGATTTTACGCGATTAAATAACTCAAAAACTTATTTTCACCGTCCAAATGAGGGGTTATAGATTAGTGTACTTCGTTCGGTTTATTTGGCCGAGAACGATATATTCAACATATTGGCATAAATTATAACTGTTCCGAAAGCGAGTCCATCTGCATATCTGCAGGTACCTGACATCGAATGACATGCAGCAGATGTCAGCCGAGTCTGTGAGTGTTGCGACTGCATCTGTGCGCACTGATTCGGATTACGCCTGCAACGAGCAGGACTCGATAGGGTTGAGTGTGGCACTTCAAAATATCCTGCAACAGAACTCGGAAAACACCGCCAAATTCGACGCCACAAAGTGGGACTCCGTCTACTGGAAAGACGACTGGTCGAGACCGGACAAAATAACCGATGAGTTAAACAACATCTACTCTTTGGATAGTGAGCACAAGGATACTCTTAAGGTACGTCTTTTTTTAATTCTGCAATTTCTATTATTCTTATCGTTTTTTTTCTATGATATCATATTTAAAACCAAACGCATGAAGAAAGGCTAAAGACTAAAGAGACTTCACACGACAGAAATGCTCTTTTGATGCTCTCTCTGTTGGAGTTAAAAAAATTGAATAATCCAACTGATTACATTTTTAAATGGATTAATCGTAAACGAATTTCACGAAGGTAAGCAGAGTTCACGACGGTACATTGGAGTCGTTTAACCTAAAATAATCGGCGAAGTTTTCAATTTTTTCTTAATTTAAAAACTTTTTGAGATTTTTGTTTTGAAATTTTAAAACCCACACATGATATAAAGTTCAAAATGATATATTTAGCAAATAGCAAAATATAAAACAGATCGAAAAACATGCCTCAACCCAATTTAGAGCGGTTTCTCTAAGAGTGATTAAATAGTCGCATGTGCGATAATAGTACGAAATATATTGCGCGTTGATTGTCCCAAATTGACCCAATTGTCCCAAATATTTAAACCCTCATAACCTTTTTAAAAATGATCATTGCTTTTTTATTTGAACTCAGGGCATCAATATTTTTTGAATGATACAAAAAAATCTTGACAAAATTGCTAGTTAAAAACTCTTAACTTGTTTGGAGAGAAAATCCACTCAATGCTTAAACTTTTCGATAATTACTTCAATATTTTTTAATTCGAGGCCAGGACAACAATACTTTTTGTATGATTTAATATATCTCGTCAAAAAAGGCTAGATCAATAGTCTTTATTAGTTTAGTACTTCGATCTAACTTTATTAATTCTTAGTTGTGGTCTAAATTAAATTAATCTTTTAACAAGCAGTACAAAATAACATTCAAGCAATTTTATTCAATGAAGCCATAAATTCACTGCTTGTTGGGACAACCCAGGAGTAGTTCCGCTCATGGAGGGTGCCCCAGATAAGACAATATTTGAGGAGCATCAAATACATAATTATACGAGGTGACATTTTAGAAGAGAATTTCAAAAACCAGATAATTTGGTCATTTTTTCTATATCGGGAGGCAACAATACAGTGGGTAAAAGTTTTGCCGCTGTTCTTCTGGTTGTTCTTAAGTGTGAAGTTTCATTAATGTTTAGAAATTTTACAGGTGAAAATTTTCTCAGGAGACCGAAAGCTTCCTTGAGAATATGAGCCGCATACAATTCATAAACTGTGTATATTTTGTGCCTAATCGCTAGGTCTTGAACTGAATCACTGTATTTTATGCGAAATACAGTTCTGATTATTCGTTTCTGTAAAAGAATAATTGATTGTAGGTCAGTTTTTGATGCACTCCCGTATGGTAAAATACCGTACTCAATTATTGATTTAGTATAGGCTTTATAAAACATCAATAGCTGTTTTGTGCTGAAAAAACTTCTAGTTTTGAGTAATAGGCCATTGAACTGACCAAAATTTTTGTTCACTTCATCTATATGATCCTTAAAACTGAGCTTATTGTCGATTATTAGACCTAAATATTTTGTTTTGAAGGAATTTTCAATTTTGTGAGATGCAAAGGTAATTTCCGTCAGATGATTGTTACCAAAAGAGACTAGATTGCATTTTGCTGGGTTAACAGTAAGCCCATTATCAACAAACCACTCCTGATTGAGGTATAAGGCACTTAAAAAATCTTTTTTGTTGTTGCAAAAAATCGTTGTATCATCAGCGTATAGAACGGAGTTGGCTTTACCAAGTTGTGTCGGCAAATCATTTATGTACAGTAAAAACAATAGAGGCCCCAGAACTGACCCCTGGGGAACGCCATATTTTATCAAATATTTTATCAAACGTTTTTCTGACCAACATTTATTATAATCAACGAACTGAAATCTTTATAATAGCTGCAAAAATTTTCCTCGAAACCCGTTTTTTTCAAGCTTGGACAGCAATCTTTCATGATTTATTGTATCAAATGCTTTGGTCAGGTCTACGAAGCAGGATTGACAGGTGCACTTTTTGTCAATACTTTTACGTAAAGTTTCTGTAAACTCTAAAAGTGCATAAGTACATGAATGTTTTGGTGGAAAACCAAATTGGCTATCACTTGAAACCTTGTTCTTATTTATAAAGCTCATCATTCTGTAGAAAATGATCTTTTCAAAAACTTTATCAATTGATGTAAATAGACTGATTGGTTTGTAATTGCCCGCGTCATGGACTGATCCATCTTTGTATATTGGAATAACTCGAGCAACTTTTAAGTCGGAAGGATAATATCCTTCATCAAAACATTGGTTAAATAGCTCAGTTAATGGTTGATTGATAACTGGAAGTGTTTGTTTAACTGTTTTATTGCTTATACCATCAAGACAAGTACTGTTACCGTTTTTCAATTCCTTAATCGCATTAGATGTTTCTTTTATTGTTATTGGAGCAAAAACAAAAGTGTTACTAATAAAATTCGACTTAACATTTTTGTTATCTGTAAATTTTGCTGCAAATTTTTCACCAATACTAGTAAAATATTCATTAAATGTTGTCGCATTTATTAAATTTCCTGAAAAATTTTTTGTTTTACCCCAAAGCGATCGTATTGTAGAGAAAAGCTCTTTAGAGTTGCTGAAATTAGCTGTACTTTTGTCGTAAAAAGCAATCTTGGCATTACGAATTGTTTTATTGCAGATATTCTGTTCCTTTTTTTATAATTTTTGTGGTTTTCAGGGGTGGGATTTTTGATCAATTTTTTGTAACATTTGTTCTTTTGCTGGCGTTGTTTTTGGCATTCATTTGTTATCCAAGATTTTTTTGAATTTTCGAAAGATTGATAGGGTGCAAATCTATCCAAATCTTGATTTATACTTCTAGTTATATGGGCTAACTTTTTATCAACAGACCAGTTTGCCTCAGTTTTAGATAGAAATTGGTGTAGTAAAAACAAATATTTTAATATGCTAACATAGTTTCTTGAAAATTTAAAATTTCTTTTCCAATTACGGGGGAAATTTTTTTTGTTTTGTGGTCGATCGCTGGCATTTAAAAAATTAACAAGAGCATAATGATCGCTTATATTACAACGCAATCTCGTAGAAAGTGTTACTTATTGAATGGTCAATGCAATTCATTGTGCTCGGGGTAATTCTAGTTGCTTCGCAATTGTTTATCTGTAAACCATACATGTTGATCCGGTCTTGGTACTTTTTAGTATGAGAACTCTCTTTTGAGATATCAATATTAAAATCGCCACAAATAATTATGTCTTTATTTTGTTCGCTGATTTTGTCTATCAGTTCCTCAAATATTTCCCAAAATCCTGAAATTTTAGCCCCAGGTGGTCTGTACATTAAGTGAAATGTTAAAACACCCTTGTTTTCAATATTTTTAAGTTCAATTGAAAAATTTTCCAATCTGTCATCTTTTTCAAGTATATATTCAATGGCTGAGAAATCTTCGCGGACATAAAATGCTAAGCCACCGCCATTTTTTGTTTCTCTTGGTTTTGAAAAAATTGGTTTATAGCCATCAATATTATAGCAACCTTGAGGATCGTTGCTTGTTAACCAAGTTTCACATAAACCTATTGCAATAGGTTTAGATTTAAAGTTTTCTAGAAGACAAAATAACTGGTCGTGATGGTAACGTAAAGATCTTATGTTTAACAATAGTTTTGATTGTTGTTCAATGTCACCTAATTGATGCTCGTCAATCATTCTTATCAATATCAAAACTAAAAACTTGCAAAGTAGAACTAAGAGTTTATATGAAATTACAGAGTTGGTTTGCTAGCTACCACTTGTTGTGACATCTCTCGTTGACATTGCTTCGTTTGCGTCTTCGTAGATGTGCTGTTTGCACGTATTGCCATCCACCATTGGTCTAGTAGGGGTAATTTCTTGATGCGATCTTTTATTTTGACCCGGCGTTGGGGAAGGCTGCCTGCTCGATGCGTTGTCTGTATTAAATCTTGGCATCTGGTTGCGTTTCCAGAAGTGTTTAGAATTGCTCTCATTTCTACGTGGATTTGGATAGTTGTAGACGTTATCTCTGTGGTCACTTTTTATGGCTGAATTTGCAGCTTTTTCGATTTCACTGACACTGTCAACATGTTTCGAGTAGAAGGACCCGTTGTTAGCTTTGTAGTAAAGCTTCACTTGGCAGTTCATGGTAGTCGTTATTAATCCCAGTGACTCACACTTTTGCTTTAGCGTGACGTCATGTTGGGGTGGACGCTCAGTAATATACATTTTCTCTCCGTGTGAATTAAAGCATGCGGCAAGTCTTGATTTGAGTTGGTAAATATTGTCTTTGTCTGCGAAGTACACGAACTTTACTATAATGGGCGCTGATTTCGTTCCTCTATTATTCTCGTTCTTTACAGGAAGCGGGTGTATTGCTTCGATTGAGCATGGTTCGATATAGTATGAAAATATGTTTTCAACAAGTTGGCAGAAGTCCTCATCAATGAATTTGATCGGTGATCCAAATCGAAATTGCAAAAGAGAAGGGTATTCTTACTTGTGTACCTTTATTGGGCATTTACTCTTTTTTTCAGTTCTGCGACTTCTTTTTTCAAATCAGAAATATCGATGGTCTTTTTAAAATCCTTTAATTCCAAGTTATAAACTGTTTTTTGTAGAGTTTCCACGGTTTTCAATAGGTTGTTGAGTATTTCAGGTGATAAAGATGCGGCTGCATTAGTGCATTCTTCAGTATATTCCATCGTTTTGGTGGTTAGTTAATTGAGTATCCGATAAGATTTTTATTCAGAACGTGCTTGGAATTAATATTTGCGTGTTTGAATAGCAATATAAATTGTCAAACGAACTGTGAACACAATGACGTAATAGCATGCGACTGTTTGTTAGCTTAGCATTTTTTCCGGAGAAAAAAAGCCTTTGAAGCGCCAAATGTTCCGTCATTTTCGTCAAAATGATAAAAAAATTTAATCATCCAACTTTTGACGAAAAGTTAGAGAAAAATTTCGAAATTCTGGAGAAAAAAACCACCAAAGTACAATTATTTCATCAGTTTCTTAGAAAATAGTGGAAAATTTTTTTCTCAAGACCGTGTCCAGAAATTTTTTTCAATTCTGTTGTCATTTAAATCATGTTTCTTATAATGAATTCTGCTACTTTATTTTAGAGTTCGGATGTATTGAACTATCCATACAAAATGGACAATATCAGGAAACTTAAATAAGTTGTTCTCAAACAGGTGCTTTTTGATCAGAAAAAAAAGATTGCTGATGAATTAACTTCAAATTATTATGATGCAATTTGTTTTGCGAATTTTGAATCTAAATTTTTTTTCCAAAAATGGGTCATGATTTCAGCTCCTTTTTCTGTCACGAAGTACGCGTCAAAAATTTTGCTGATAAAAAATGTTGACGAAAAGTAAGCCTCTTATGTAGCCCAACAAAGTTTCGAAAGTTTTATCTTCCAAATAGCATAAATTATTGACTGACAGCCTATAAATGACGTTCTTACCAAATAAAATATCAATTTAACAATTTAATCGTTCAATAAAAAAAATTTCAATCGTTTTGTGCAATTTTTTGGAGAGTATACTGTTTTTGTGCACTACATAGATACTCATTTTGATAGAGAGGTTGTAGTTTTGGCTCAGTTTTGGATTGACTAAAAAAGTACTTCGCAATCTTAACAGCACTTCGCATTCTTATGCGTCAGATCACATCTCATATGATATCTATCCGATAATTTTAATTTCACAATAAAAATTTTTTCGGAGACGACGATAGCTTTAAGCTTATCAATTTTTTTTATTTTTTCCATAATTGCACTTGCAACTCAAGTTAGGAAATTGGATTGGTTTTGATCTCATGACAGTCTTGATCGTAAGTGCAGGTAAGACACGCAGAAGTCCAGTTTCCTCCAGTATAGATGAGTTCAAATAACATTCAATTGCTCAAAGCCTGTTACAAACTCACGTTCAATGTTTTCTGTCAAAAAAGTATCATCATTTTTCTACAAATTTTCAGTACAGACTAAGTAGAATATGTATAATATCTACAAAAAAATTTGTTCTGCAAATATTTTGGGAGCCAAGTTATACTAAATTTAAGAAAGAGAGAGCGCGCGCAATAAAAACGACTATTGCTCGTCTTGCAAAAGTTATCTCTGCGGCCCAAAAAATTTGCACAAGTAGAATTCCTACTGGAAAACTCAAAAACGTAATTCACGGTTTATTAAAAATGGGCATATTTTGGTTTAGAATAGAAAAGACACCAACTTTTTTTTATCATTTTTAATCTAGTGTTCAACTACGAAGTGATGAAGAAATTTGTTTTAGGGCTCGTGTCTTGCTTCATAAATCTTTGCAAGTTTTGTGCCTTTTTTAAACATGATTGGGAGAGCAAATCAGATATAATTAGTCCATATGTGATTATAATTATTCTATAATGTGCTTAGTTCATATTTTAGATAAACGGAACTTGACGTGATTGATCTACTGGGATAGTTTTCCAATCCCAGCTAAAAAAAAAACGAAAAAAAAGGAAAATTTCTTGACACAAAGATAATTTTTGCATTCAAATCATGGCCGTCACTCGACTCCATTTGAGGTATTGCTCAATGCCCTCTGCAGATTTTTGGTTCCTGGTTTGCGTGAAATTTTTGCACCTCGGCTAAAACTCCCTCCGAGCTTTTGTAAATACATAAAAGGCAGCAACAACATCCTGAAACTTGAATTGTGCCACCACAAGTTTGCGTTTTTAATGCAATCAAAAGGTTGAACGGATGTTATTTGCCTTTTTGACATTTTTTGCAACATTTTGCAAGCAAATGATGAAATTTTGATAAACCACAGTTTGAAATTTTAATTTTTTTAATGTACTTGAGCATTGAAGCGGACAAATTGAATCTATCGAACTATTCAGCCTTGTCATTTCCAAATAAAAGACAGTAGTAATGAAAATCAGAAATGAAAAGATGGACTATTTGTGATTGGTCGGTTTTTTTTTTCTGAGTTTATTCTACTTTTTAACGCGCCATTTCAAGTAGTATGGCTTGTTAAATCTAAAAAGTTTGGCTTCTTGAGCTCAAAACAAAAAGTATCTTTTTTTGCAAAGTTGAGGGAGTTTTAAAAACGCAATATCAACCTAATTGGGACAATTAATGCGCAATTGGTTCACGCTATTAACTGGAAATTGGTTATTTATGCCGGTTCCAAAATCAATCGAGGCATGCTACTGAGTCTTATCACTTTCTAAACTTTAAAGCGTTCGATGAATGCATAAGAAAAATGAAAAATATATATACTTTGTTCCGAAAGTTGTATCATTTCAAAGTCAAAAATATTTTCATAGACGCTCGCTTGATAAAAAACTCTTTTTGTTTTCATTTTCATTTGCAGTCGTTTTTTATGCAAAATTTATGGGGAATGCGTGCCAAAAAAACGGCTAATTCTTTGTTTCAAAAAACAATCCAATAAATGAATAACAAATAACAGTTTTGAACACCTTTTTGAAAAATTAGCGGTGTAGGTTTTTTTGACAAAATGTGTACATTTATTATTTGAATGTGTTTGTCATACCTCTAAGTGGGAATATCTAATTCTCGACTCCGAATGGATCGATAAACAAAGAGTCTCAATCGAAGCGGTGTAAAACAACTAGTTGATAGACAACATTTATTTACGACTGAACAATAGTTCACACACAGTTCATGTTTTATGCCTATCAAGGTCAACCGACCGACCAACTGAGTGACTTTAACATAAAATAAGAATAATATAAATAACATGTCTTTATACTGAGTTTATCGATCCAGGCCGGATGACATTCCCCCCTCAGCAAATAAATTTGAACAACTGTTTTGAACTTTGAGTTCTCTAGTCCCCGGTGGACTTTTTGAATTTTGAGTTTTATAGTCCCCTTGGTTTTATAGACCTCTGTTTGTTTTCCAACCTTTTGAGCATCCTCCCCATTGTTTTCAAGCTCCTTTTCTTCATACAATTTTTCATCTTTCTTTTCAGTCTCATCTTCTTTCGGCGAGCTTTTCTCTTTTAGAAATAGAATATCCTTGTTGTTATTGTTCGTTTTGTCTTCTGTTGTTTATATCAAGTCCACCATGGATCTGTCTGATTCTTAATGCTCTTCGGACTAATGGATTCGATCAACTTAACACAGGCTTGATATGGTGATGTTTTCTCTTTAAATCCCATTTCTTGTTTGAGCGATTTTAGGCTCGGATAACTTTCTAGTTTTGGTTTATATGGTGGCGAATTAATTTTGAAACGAAATGATTTCTGTCCTTTGTCGTCCTTGTCGTTTATTGCGTTAATCGGGACAAGGTTCCCGAATGCAGTTGATAACGCGGTTCCGTGTTGATTTCCGTTGTAGTACTGCTGTGATTGTGGGTGGCGTACGTTTTTGGTTTTGACTCTTAGGCGATGGTGCGATGTCTTCCGAGGATATTGACAATTGATCGTCGTTGTCTGAGCCACTGGATGCTAGTTTCTGCCGAGTGTTGTTATTTGTCGACTTCTCGACCTTGTCATCCGTTTGCAAACTCATTCCGCGTGTTGTCTGTAATTTGTGTGTCGAGCGCCCGCTTGTTCGTTTTCCTGTCGATTTGGCCTTTCTTTTTGGCGGACTATTCTGATGTGCCTGCCTTGCCGTCTTTTTTTTGGCGAGTTAATTTCACTGGTAGACCTGTTCCTTCGTCCTCCTTGAACATCGGGCGTTGAGGAGCGGTAGGATTCTCGATGTCTAAAAAAACGTAGGCATGGTCCTGATCTCTCTCCGTGCGGATTTATACGCGACGTAATTACTGAGCCGAGAGGGTCTGTGCGGTCTGTATATTAGAGGGTTGGGAACAAATGCAGCTCCGCTATTTCTTAATAGTCTTGGTTGCTTTCCGAATATTTGTGCCCATGCGGTATGTGGTATATATGTAGGGATTTTTCCATCTATGGTTTTATTTTTTTTGTTCGAATGTTTTTGGATCTTTAACCTTCGTTGCAAGTCTAAATGTTTTTCGTGCCACCTGGTCTATACGTTTTTTCGTGTTTTTGTCTATTGCTGCTTGCACCTGTGTTTTGCTGTGGTGAAGAATTCGCATTTTGGAGGTTCTTCGGCAGTTGTGGTTTCAATTTTGTTTCTTGTCTCCTGATGGATACTTCGACCGTTGTAAGTCATGCATTATCTCTGCGGGTAGTGGCGGCTTTGTAAGATTCTTTCTATCTAAACATGCATGTTTTGCGCTTTCCCAGTTTAAGTTATTGGGTGAACTGCTAGTCGCTACATTTGAAAGAGGAGTCTTTGGTTTTCCATAAGTGCCTCAAACGATGAAATTTTTGTGACGCCATGTGGTGTGATTCTCAATGTTTCAATAATTTCAGCCACATCGGAAGCGAGTTTGTACGGTGTGTTTGTTTTATCGATTTTCATTACCGCTGACCTGCGTTTTAATGTTTGTATCATTCTCTCGACTACTCCTATTGCCCTATGATCGTCTACCGGGCGAAAAGTTGTTTTATATTGTTGCTACTGCAAAAAAGTAGTTCCTTTGTTTTATTAGAAAAAAATACATTTTTACGAAATCAATTTGAAATTAACAAATTGCTTTTAAATAACAGGTAACTGTTTGACTAGATATTTTTAGATAAGCTCTAATAAATCGTGTTTTAAGGTGAATGAACAAGCAGTTTCTGCTTACGTGGGAGTGGGCGGAGGCTTCGACGCCGGAGAACTTGGTCTCCATGCGAGTGTTGAAACAGGCGGGTCCGTTTCCTTCAAGAACAAAGTTCACGACATCTCTGACGCATTGAACGAAAACGACGTAAACTCCTATTGGAATGGGGAAAAATTTGTCACGAAGCCCATGGATTTGTACAGAATTAATCTAAACGAGTACACTTCGACATCTAGCATCGCCGCCACATCAGTGCAAGTTCGCAAAGTATCGAGCGAATATCCGATAGATCTGACTATCATAGAAGATACCGAACAAGACGAAGACCAGCCATCTGTGATGACTGTTTCAACACTTCGTGAAGTTATCAACAAAGAGATCGAAGAACTGAAGGTTGAGATTGCTGAAATAATGAGCACTTTGGCTGACACGAATGAAGAAAACGTGAAGGAAGTTGATGAAAGTGTGAAATTTCTTTACAACGCAACAACTTGGCCTCATGGGTCGTACTGTATATTCCAGCAGCCGAAAAAGCGTTCATTAGAAAACGGCTTCAGCAACACAGGCGCTTGTCCGGAGGAATTCAAAATTGCAGTAGGAAGTTTTGAAGTCCAAGGAGACCCGAAATCGGCTGACGCTAACTTCAACCATATCAGTTTCGAAAAGGGCGGAAAGAAGACGACACAAATTTCTATTCGAACGTGTTGCAAAAAAGAAGACTAAAAAAATGCATCCTTCAATTCAACAAACCAATTTTCACCAGTACAATTGGAGCCCAATTATGAAAATCAGGTGCTATCTGGTTCTGGGGAGACAGGAAAAATAACCTGTCCAAATCTGGCTATTATAAACGAGGTTGGAAATTGATTGAAAAATTTGAATTTATTGCTGGAATAAAAGAAGAACGGCTTGAAGAAAGTTGTTATTGTTCCGACTTTCGTAACGAAAGTAACGGAATATTTGTGCTCGGGGTTGTTTTTTTTTCGTCAGGCAAATTTCGATTTTTTAGCTGGCCATTTTGGACGGAGTTTTTAAAATCACTCATAAGGTATTGTTGTCCTCAGCTTAAATTTGAAAACACATTTCACCTGTGATTGTTTTTCTTAAAGTTTTGGGGGTTTAACAATTGCCATTACTTCGCGCCTTTAATGCGTAAGCGGAAACTTAATTCGACTTAGAAATTGTTCAAAACTGGTTGAAGGAAGCTTATTTGCCATAACTGATCTGTTACTAGGAGCGCAATCTATCACATTGAATTTAAGATGGCGCGTGGTGTGGTGATTTATACGAAAATTCTTAAATTGGATTGGAAAAATTGTTTTATTTTATTACCTTTAGTAGTTTCATGTTATTACTGCTCCATAGACCTTAAAAGGCAGTCGGAAAATTCAGTGCTTTGACCTGATACGAGCAGTTTTTTTATTGTCCAAAACGGCGTTAAAATGACACCTTACTCTATTCCATGAAATCAATTTTAAAAAATTTTATCCTTGTAAATACCTCAGCTATTTCAATCATATGAAAACTAAAAAAAAAAGCGTCAGAAACTGAAAGCATTTAAGAAATTTTTTTTATCTGCGCAACTTAACTTGCATACAGACAGTTTTTTGGCGCTGTTTCGATTAAGAAGTTTTTACGTAAACTTTAAGAAAGAAAAAAATGTGTCTAGAATTCATGTTTGTGATTACCGCAATTGCTTCAAAAAGTTGTTTCTACAAAACAATTTTGTCAGACTACCATCATTAATTGTATGCCTTGTTTAAAGTTTTAACAACAGAACAAGAAAAGGAACAAGGATGGTTGTACCAGGAAAGGGCGTGCGCAAAAATTTTCTAGGGAAGGGAGGTTTTTCGAAAAGTTTTGAAAATTTTGCCGGCCTTCTTTTTTTAGATCGACCAATTTGTATAAGGACAAAATAGTATAAGGACTCTGTAAAAAAAATTCTGCGCCGGATGCAATCTTTTAAGAAAAAAAAACTGGCCAGAAAAAAATTTTAGGCACTTTTTGGAAAATTTTGACCAAATAATTGCGTTTTTTCTGGCAAGCGCTCCCCCCTCAAAATTAGTCATTTTGGCGCCGAAGGCGCTCGTAGAAAATTTTTAAATTTGTTTAGCAAAAAAAAGGGTATCATAAAGTTATACCAAAGGAGGGCCCTTTGGAACAATTTGGTAACAAGAATTGAAGGGGAGGCGGTCGCCCGCCCCGCCGCCTCAGACGTATCTTGGAAAGATAATCAACAAGTCGAAAAAAATGTCTCAAGAAAGTTTGACCTATAAAACAGTTGAAACTAAAGAAACACTCATTAAATCTATTTGGTCAATCAAACCGCACACTATGAGGTGTCATTGCCAATAAATCATTCCAGCCACCATCTAAAACAAAAAAAACGTTTACTAAAACAAGCACATGAAGAGCAAAAGGCTGGAAAAATGTCTGTTGGCCTAAAAGAACAGAATTGACCAAAAAGTTTAGTAGATGAATTGATTTCTTTGGAGAAATTATTAACCGAAAAAACTGTCTGTCACCTTTTAATAGTTATTTGAAATACCTTCAATTATGGCTTTTTCATAAAATATTTTATTTACTACCCGTTCTCCTTTTTCAAAATCAAAATCAAAACTTCTAGAATTATAGTATAAAACAAAACGATTGAAAATGTACTTAACTTATTTTCAGTCATTTTTTATCATTCGTGAACTCATTTGATAACGGAAAAATCTGTCTTCTCTCAATAACACTAAGCTCTATCAGTTTTACTTTGAAACTTACAAGAAGTTTCACTCAATTTAAAATACAACACAAAAAGTTTGAATTAGCCTTAAATAAACCGTTGCCGATCTTTTTTTTCGAGAAGACGTATTGGTGTAAAATTTCAAGCTTATGTTGATTTAAGATTGAGTATAATAAAATAATTATATATTGTGATCTTTAATTTAGTTGATAAAGCTAAACGATAACAATGCTTGATCAAGTAGGGATTTTTTGTCGATGTAGATGTAAAAAAATGAATCGTTTCCAAAAATCACTCTATTGCTTTCAAATCATCTAGGATGTTATTCACCAAACAATAGGTTCTTCTCAGTACAATAAAAAACATTTAAGAAGGAAACAAACATCTTGCTTGCTGATTCTTGCATAAAAAATGATTCTCATTCAAAAAAAAAGGGAGAGTTTGCTTTTGTTAATTTTCCGCTGTTTTCATTCATTTAGCGCCTTTTGTTTATTTTTGAGGAGATATTTTTAAGGAGATTCTTGGAATTTTGCACACAGGAAACGAAAGTTTTCCAAATTATATTCCTTTTTCCAAAACTTCTGATTAGGTTTTTCGCAAAAAATAATACTTCCTTAAGTCCAAATTTTCATTTGATGCTTCGACTTTCAAAAAACGCACAAGGTCAGGACTCGACCTGAAAAAATAATCGAGACAGGGGTTTGTGTCGAGCTATCAAAACCACTGAGAATTAATAACTGAACCCGGTCGAAACATAACTCAACCTCTGCAAAAACATACCTCGAGTACAGTCGAAACATAACAAATTTCGATCGAGCACAACTGAAACATGCCTGGAGCACGATATAATTTTACTTCGACCATATTCTTCGCGGTAAGACAAAGTAAAAATATGAACAAATCATTCAAATATCAAACTCATTTTTTAATTGTTTCGACGCAAATTTAAGCGAGTTCATTTTAGAAATAAATTCATTCTGATAAAAATTCAACCGAAGATTTTACCTGAAGAACTATAAAATATTTACATTTCGCAAGTAGATTTTTTTAAATCTAGAAACAGGCCTGAGTTTGGTTGAGGCGTTTTAAAAATAATCTAGTTTGGGTCGATAATCAAATTACAAGTTTTTCAACTAATCTGTTGGAGCGCTGACCGCCTACTGTACAGAATACTAATTTTATTTTCTTAGAGTCGCAAACTAATTTAAAATTTTGACTGGTTAAACAAGATGCACGATTTACGCAAACAGAGTATGTAATACCATGAAAAAATTTAATCTTGGAAAAAGTCTACAAATGTGTTGGTTGATGTAGATATATTGATTTTAGCTGATGGAAATTTTGAAAATTTATCGATACATAACCAGATATACTTGTTTGTGCCTCAATGAGAATAAAAAGGACCAGCGAAAACTAAACTAAGTTCTTCGTTAGGTTAGGACAGAGAGGATACTTTTATAACTTGTGAGTTCAGAATTCCACTCCTCAAGTTCTTACCCGTTTTAGTGTATTCTGAACAGTTTATGCCATAAAAAAAGTTGGTCCATTTATATGAGGCCACCAGATATTTTGACGACGTAAGTCATTCCAAATTGTTCAGGGTGGTCTTCATGTATGTTCTTAACAATGGCATTTTTGAGAGCAAAGGGAACAACGAGTTTGTCATCCATATATAACAATCGGTCGGATTCATGGAGGTCGCGTACGAAAAGATGAAAATATGGAGAATTAGAATTAACCATCTCAACTTTGTTTCGAAATGTTTTAACGTTAGGCCTCAATATTGGGTCATCTTCGGATAGGAGAGCTACCAGTTTCGCATTAAATAAAGTATTTATAACCAAAGAACGTTCAGGCAACTTCAAGTTTCTACTGTATTTTTTTTACAAGTTTTTTGTGCTCTGATAACAGCGGAAACTCTAACAAAACTTTAGTACCGGCAGTAGAAGGATCAATTAAATTTTTTTATTTTCCATATTAACAGTTTCTACAGCTTTTCTAACTAAAAGGGAACCAATTAAGCTAATATTGAGAAATAAAAAATATACCAAGCAGAATTTGAAAATAGAAATTTTAAAGGATTCATACTAGAATAATCAGAAGGAAAACTTTTCGAGGTAGAAAAATCGGTTGGAAAAATTCAAGTTGCAAATTGGAACAGTCAGGTTATTAAATTTCAGAACTCAAGCTAATAAGTAATTAGCTGATCTTGCGTAGTTGGAATTTTCCAAATTTGAACCAATCGAGTTTAAAAAAATGTTTGATTATCCGAAGAATAAATTGCTCTATTAATTTTATTTTTGGTTGCCACTACGAATTCTTCATCAAAATGCGATGAGAGTTAAGTTTTTCCTGATGGAACTTGTGAGATTACTGCCGTACGTTTAATTGTAAAATGAAATGGAAAAAAACGATTGATCCATCTAGTTAATCTACTGTGGTCGGTTTTATTTCCGTGGTTTGTTGAAAAGGCCGAAAGAAGGGCTTTTTTTTTAATCTGAAATAACTTTGAATATTGCTCCATAAAAGTAATTCTTTCAATGTTCCACCGCCTAAGTTGTTCCTAATAATCCCAATTGTGGAAAATTTAGATTCATGTCGATTTAAAAACCTTAAAGGAAAAGAAACCGGCTTCATGTCAATCCCGTGTAGTTGTTCTAAAGATGACGTTAATCTGTTATGTGATGCGTCGGTCTTTATTCTGTGTTACCCTTTTAATCGAAGTGCGTGTTTTCTGTCAGGCTTACAATGCCTTGTTCAATTCTCTCGCTTGCTTTTTTATGGTCTTCATACCAATGAAAAAGAGATATCTTGTTTAGATAAGGACGTAAAGTGCTTCCCAAGGAGCCTAGGTTTGGAACGAGTTTAATCTATTGATGCGTGGAGACGCAAAACGATCTGAATTTTTTCAGATTGTTAGAAATGGGAAAATATTTCATTGCTTTTTTTCATCAATCAACGGAGAGATTCCTGATTTTGAAATTTTAAACCAAGGCCATTCTATTTCTTTTTGAAAGAATTCACCTTTCAACAAATTTACCGCGAATTTATAGTCGTCTCAAATCGATAGGTT